CCTTCTGACTTCTTGTTAAAAGATCTGGAGCTTCCCCCTCTGGTCTGCCTTCTCCTCCTCCCCCAAGCGATGCCAATTTGCCCTGAGTTCTGACCTCAAATTAAAATGGTTAGGAGCATGTGCCCCAGAAACTGAATGCTCTATTTAGAATCCCATCTCTGCCATGCCTATTTCCTCACCTGTATATCAGAGATCATTAATAACAATCACATCAGAAGGTGCTGAGAAGAATCAATGACTTCATTTACATAAATCTTAAGAACCCAATAAATGCTAACCCTTCACTTTCTATCTACATTTTGCTGGCTACTCCTGTCCAGCTACTCTTTGATAGCTATTTTGATAGTTATCATTTTGATGCCAACTGAGCTATTTTTTAAAAAAAATTATAGTCAAATAATTTAAGAAAGAAATGCCCTCACTCCATTCTTTAGCCTCATCTCATTGCCAACTCCCACTTGAGTCTGGTGGAGGTGACAGATGGAGTCGGGGCCACAAATGTCACCGATTCAAGACTTGAAAATAAAGAACTAAAGCAAGTGACCTGAACTTCGACAAGGCTGCTCTGATAGTTTTGTTTTTAACATCAAGAGGAAACCTCCCTTCTTTTTTTGAACCATTAGTGGGAACTAGTCAACTGTTTTTAGGCAGCAAGTTGGCAATATCCATAAGCACATTTAAATGTTGGATCAGAAGTTACACACTTTTCCACACAAGTGCCTTTTTAAGGAAATATCCACCAGTAGGGAAGTAATGAATGAACACATAATGGAAGTCCACACAATAGACTATAATTCAATTTCTAAAACGTCCAAATGATATTTAAAGTTGTACAAGCAGTTGGGTAGGCGTAAGGGATACAGGATACTTTCGCTTCTTTACTTTCATATTTCGGTACTGTTTGCATTCTTCCTGACAAATATTTCATTCATAAAATAAGGATCAAAAAAGAAAAGAGGTTCTCATAGGCAAGGAAGATGGCATCCCAAGGTAGATGCATCGTATTCATGCTACAATGACTTGTCCAAGGTCACGGGCTTGGCAGGGATTCATCCAGCCCACGTGTGGCTCCAAAGCCTGAGTCTTTTCTACCCCTGAACGTTCTCCCACTCCCACCCTCCTAACTAAGCTGAGACAGAACTCTCTAAGCTCGCACAAGCAACTCTGCGGCCTGCAGACCAAGGATTAAGAACCGAGAACAGGGTGGTGGCTTAGACTCTGTGGCTTTTAAAAGGTCCTTCCAACTCAGGGAGATGTGAGAAGGCATCCAAAAACAACCAGCACCATCACTGCAGCAGATCGGTGCTCCGTGAACTTGCTGCAGCTTCGATTCAAACCAGCCCCGGAATCTGTAGTCTCGAAGGGTGTTGCCAGCATGGTTCAAAAGTTCATAATAAGAGATTTGGCAGAGATGCCTCAGACTAAAAGCATTTCAGTTCTTCCACTGGCCCCTATAAAAAGTAGCTTCCTTCCACATGCATGTTTTAGAAAATGCTGGAAGGGGTGTCAACAGCAGAGTTGTCACTGAAAGGAGAAACAGAAAATGAAAAAAACGAAGCCCAGAGAGGAAGAAGTTTAGGAACAAAACCTGGCAGGCAAAGCCCATGCGTGTGTGTGCGTGCGCGCGTGTGGCCGAGGTGAGGCTGGGGGAGGGGGTTTTATTCACATCCAGGCCTCTGAAGAAAGGGAAAGACAGAGACGAATGCATGTCTATTCAGGGGAAGCGACCTGGCTGGGGGAGCCTCTGAAGGGCCGCCCTAAGGGCCAAGGACTCCAACAAGCTCAAAATGCACTACTTCACATAAGCAGAGCTTCTATACTCAATTAGAAGTATGATTGCTGTTGCTATTTTTGCTTCCAAAGTAGAATCACATGTTGGAGTTATAAGAGACTCACTACACATGGTATTGATTATTTTCTCTATTTCCTCCCACGTGAAACAAAAGGAGGGAGGGAAAACTGCAATCATAAAGCACTCTCGCCATCCAACTGAGGAGCCTTCTGCAGCACTAGGCAGGCAGACAGGCTTAAGATAATGATGAAAGATTAGCATGCAAACATCTGAGAAGAGGAAAGAAGAACAAACGATGTCATAGCCAGCGTGCCTAGCCACTCAGCAGCTGGGATCCCCTGGAAGACGTGTGGGGGAAGAGAGGAAAGGGCCATAAATGCTTAGGTTATGACTTGCCCAGAGCGCCTCCTCTCTTTGCACTCGAATCCCTAATTCCTGACCTTCCCAGGGCGGATATGCCTGCCCCACACTCACACCCTGAGGCTTCCAGGCCCTGGGAGGAAGGAAGATGTTGAAGAGGATCTCTCCCTACCCACCTGGGGGAAGCTAGGAATTAAGTCTTTTCTCCTCATGGACTTGCTTCACACAGGTCTAGGAAGAACCCTCCTAAGACCATTTAAGACTGAAGGTCTCCAGTGAGAACACCACAAGGTAAATACGTTTATCAGTCCACTGCGGAGGAATACCTACCCTGTCTGAAATCCAGAAATGAAAGGTGTATCTTGTCTAACAGAAATCGATTTCTTAGGAAGAAAAAGCCAAGTACTGGTACACCCAGAAAGCAAAGACTCTAGCTCTACACAGAAGTCCACGGCCCTGAGGGCAGTGTGAACAGAGACAGCCCAGGGTTCACTGCAGGACTCCGTTACAGGTTGCTGGGGGAGAAGGTATGGATCAGGACTTGGGGAGCAGATCACAGTCCTGAGTTAGAAATAGAGAGGTACTGCTTGGCTCTGTAGTCCCCGATATGCCAGAAGCCTCATTCAGACACAGATTGGTGCGTGAATATCCGAGTCCTCAAGATAATCTCAAAATCTAGAAGGTAAAAGAAGCTGGGGCGAACCAGCTGAACTGGTTAGGACTGAATCTAACTGGTAGAGTAAAATGGAACAATTGCTAACATGTACGAAATGTGTACTTTGGGTTCTAGGTATTATCTGAAACATGTTACATAGATTGTCTTGCTTATTTCACCCCAAACCCTACAGAGAGGTACTGGCATACCCACACTTTACAGATGAGACACTGAGAGGTTATTTGCCCAAAGTCATGGGGTAAGAGGCAGAACCAAGATTAGGAGCCAGTCAGAGCCTCCAGGGCTACTAGGTTCTACTTTCTCATGGAGAAGAACTTAAGAGGGGACCCACCTGACATCTTCAAGTTCACAAAGATTCCCATGGTCATGTTTTCATAAAATTTGGAAAATACTTTTCTTTTGTAATGACGAACTCTAAATTGTATAAGCTTCAGGCCCCACAAACAGTGTGAATCAACCACAGGCTCAAAAAACCCTTAACAAAAACCTGAGCACAAGTACATATGAGTAACAGTTAAGAGTCCACATGGCTAGAGCTCAGAGTTCAGGAAAGCCAAGGCACATAGTAAATGCTATAGAAGGATGCCTAGAAGAAAATCAAACCTGCAAAAAAATTCTAACAAGCTCCTTCCCATGACCTAGTCATATTGAGATGAGAAGTAAGCATTTCCCCTCTCTCTTAGATATAATGGTCATGACTGGCTGAAAAACCAAAACCACCCAACTGTGCTTTTTTTTAAAAAAAATGTAATATATAATATTAACTGGGGTTCCTGATACACTGTTCAGTGAAAAGAAAACAATCACTGATCTCATGATCCCACCTGCAAGGGGAAAATGCCTAGAGAAATAGAGGATCTGACTCTTGTTGAAGATGGTAGCAGCAAGATTTTCACTGTCAAGCTCACTTTGGGAATTTTAAAGGACAGAGGTAGACAAATAGCACAATTTCCACAAAGAAAAGAACATAAAAAGCTGTAGACCATAGGATAATGCTTGATAATGATCCTTATTAATATTCCAGAGGAAATAAGTCTAAGTATTTTAAATGGGTAACAGGTACCTCTTCTCAATTCAGCAAACTGTGTTTTCTTTGGGTTTCCCTCATAGCTCAGTCAGTAAAGAATCTGCCTGCAGTGAAGGAGACCTGGGTTTGATTCCTGGATTGGGAAGATTCCCTGGAGAAGGAAATGGCAACCAACTCCAGAATTCTTGCTTGAAGAATCCCATGGATAGAGGAGCCTAGCAGGCTATAGTCCATGGGGTTGCAAGAGTTGGACACGACTTAGTGACTAAACCACTTTAAATGGGTAGTTAAGTACCTCTTCTCAATTCAGCAAACTGTTTTTCCTTTAATTGTTTTGGTCAAGACAAGAAATCAAACCCCAAAAGCAGGCAAATCACAATGGTACACCCCTACCAGGAGTGGCACATATCCAGGTGGGCTTCAGGGCCACTTCGCAGGAGGCCTTTTGGGAGATGACCTGACAGAGTCTGCAGAGGGGATCTCTACTGTTCCTCCCTGACCTGGGAGTCTAAGAAAGAACTTCAACAACAAGAGGGAATTATCTCAGTGATAAATTTTCACTGTAGTATTAACAATGAAAAGAAACTGAAGAAAAATGAACTATAAAAATCACCACCTCCTTCAAAAATTTCACACTTGTACCACAGAATTCTTTACATAGACCTCTCAAACACTGCTACTTTCCAGTTTCAAGAGACAGTAAAATCTATTCCTGATGAATAAATTCATTAAATCAATAAATACTTATTGGGCATCCATTATGTGCCAAGTAGTATTCTAAAAGATGGATTTTTGAAATATCTCACCAGTGAATAAGACAAAGATCCTACTGCTGGTGTAAAGAGGTAATAAACAAAAAGTTCTAAATTAAAAAGCTATTATTGAACTGTAAAGTCAAAAAAAAACTAAAGTTAAACCTATCCATACGTTTTTATCAGGATTCTCTGGCAGGAAAATGAGGCAGACCACCTTAGAGATCAGTTCACAGCAGGAGTCCACTATCCTCTGATTGATGGAGCAAACTGCTTGTCCAAACAGCACTGGGCTGGCAGGCCGGCAGGGTCTCAATGGGACATTTGGTAATAATATTTAATTATAGTTAATTATTAATCTATGATGGCTTAACTTACTTTTAAAAGACTTACAATTTTAGTAGTAAGTCTTCCAAAGTGGTTTTTGTTTGTTGAGGGATACCACCTTGAAACCAAGAAGACTGTGTGAGAAGCTACTTTGCTCAAATCAGACATTCCCTGGGAGCAGAAAACTGTGAGAGTATGCATTCCAATTCCATTCTTCTTAATATCTCAATTAGATCCCTCCCCAAAAACATGCCCAGGTAAGAATCACTGCATCTCCACTCACTCCTGCCCCACAGCTAACTCTTCCAATTCCCTGAGTAAGTGCCCCTGCAGCACTTGCTCTAAGACTGATGAGGGCATACACTTCACTGCATCCTCAGCTTTACAAGAAAGTACCCTGGATTCCCAGGTGGCGCGGTGGTCAAGAATCCGCCTGCCAGTGAAGGAGCTGCAGGAGACCAAGCAAGGTTTGATCCCTGGGTCCGGAAGATCCCCTGGAGGGGGAAATGGCAACCCACTCCAGTATTCTTGCCTGGGAATCCCATGGACAGAGGAGCCTGGCGGGCTACAGTCCATGGGGGTCACAGAGTTGGACACAACTGAGCACGCATGCATGCACCCTGACTCCAACATCAGAGCCAAGTGTCGGAAATGCTGTGCTTCCCTTTGGGGCCTGTCACGTTTCCATGGTACATAAGGCTCAGAGGTATTTACCTCTGGTCCCTTAGATGCAGTCAAGGGCCTGGCTCAACCTGTATGATCCATGTAAGACCTTTCTACTTTATGTTTCCATCTCTCACTGGACTATCTACACCAGCTCCTATATTTTCCTGGACCTTCTAATACATTATAGTCTTTATAGATTGCAAGTTATGATCCTTTTCTTCTTATTAGAGATAGTTATACTGCAGGCTAAAGGATTCTACTTTTTTTAGTCTGTTTCCAAACATCTTGCCAATTAAAAACAAAAAAAAATTCTGTACTTTCTGCCATGTTTTATCATCTTCTCAAACAAGTATCTTAAATTGACTGATTTTCCCTTGAAATTTTATTAATTAAAGCTATCTGAGATCAAAGGCTTCCTCAATTCATTGATGAACTGCTTTCACAGCTCAAATATAAATAGACTAAAGGCTTTTTAAAATAAAATGGAATATTTAAAGAGGCAGTGACATCTAAGTCTAAGAAATACCAATGCTAATTTTCTATTCTAAGAATTAATATCCACAACATACTCATTGAGTACTTCCTACAAGCCAGACACATCTCAGTAACACAAACTTTAGAAGTGGTAACTATTACTTCCCCCGTTTACTGATTAGGAAACTAGGACAGAAATATCAAATAACTTGCCCAAAATCATTCAAGGCAGTTAAGTGGCAAGGGGGGATTAGAACCCACATCTGCCTCACTCCAAGGTCCATACCACACTACCATCTGCCACATGGTTAAATGAGGTTTTAAGAACAAAAAAAACCCTGACATTTAAGCAACCTATCATAGAGAAAAAGCAAGTTATGTTATGCAATACATAGAGAAAAAGCAAGAAGAAATCAAAAGCTATCCAAATAAAGCAGTGTCAAAGTTGAAGTTCCACAGACTCACTCATCAGACGGTTGAGCCCTCAGCTGAAATGTATTATCTCATACAAAGAATTAGCAGACAGGGATATTTAAAACAGCATTAAGTGAATAATCATGATGCCAGGAAGTGACAGGTGGACAGCAAAAATAGCGGGGAGGGGGATAGACAATAATGACTGGTAACAGAACAGCCCCAAGCACTCCACTAAACCAAGACATCACTCTTCGAGTTAAAATTCTTAGAATATTCCAACTCTCTCCTGTGATCTTGAGCAAATCACACCTCTCTGAGCTTCAGCATCCTGATCTGTAAATGATGTTGGGTAATCCCAGGAATCCTCATCTCAGAGGGCTGCTGCTGTGGAGATCAAAAGACTTCCTATGAAAGGATACTGTCTGAAAGAACCATATAAATGAAAGGGGTTATTAAAGGTTGGTTTGATGTTTAAAGGGATAAACCCACAGTTATACAAACCAAAAGTTAAAACCAACTTTCCAAAGATCCTGAAAGCTGAGGTTTTACTATTTTTTAAAATGTATAATAATTACAGTGATCTAGCCTCAGTCTATGCACTTCCTTCAGTCTACTCAATAATAAGTAGGAAAGGGGCAGACGTTGCTTCATTAATCAGCAAAAAGATGATATTAACAACCAAGAAAAGTCAGTCACTTGAAGGACTGCCAAGGTTATCAGTACCCCATTTACAACGCAAAAGGTAGAGACTTAAGGGTTGCCATACAAGTATCTCAAGGGCAAATTGTGCACAAGCCAGGCCAGGCTATTACATCCAGCTGATTCCACTGAAAGGATTCCTAAAGGTCCACTTGCAAACCTTGGAAAGAACAGCACAAATCTACAGGTTTTCAATTGGTGGGGTTTGTACTCACAAACCACTCCCTTTTCTGTTCTTCAAAATAATGTTCAAGAAACCGTTTTCTAACAGGGGCAACACACTTGACAAGGTAAAAGCTCTAAATTTCAACTTTAGATACACAAACTAAAATCAACTGGTTGCTTCAACGATTGTTTAGAATTTAGTAACGACTGAATTAATAATATGATGTGGAGAGTATATCAGGGATTGAGCAGAGCCACAATCCTCCCTTGGGGTGTGACAATGGTGCGCTTCATGGTCCCTAGGTAATTCCCTCCACAGTTCCTACACCCCCAACGCTGGGATGTTACAGTTCTGACAATGCCGGTGAATTCTGCCAGAGGTAGGACGGTTTGGTGGCAATCCTAACATGCTTCGGCTCCCGGGAGGTTAATGGGAATTAAACCACAGCAGCCCTCCTTTGTGGCGCTTTGGCCAGAACAGCAGAAAGGAGACAATGAGCGTTCTGTGCGCAGTTCCGCGCGGATTGGCTGTTCTCTCCCCCCAGAAACCCCTGATGTCATGGGCTTGGAATGCAGGGAGGGAGGAAGGAAGGAGCGGGTTTGGGGAGGGGGACGCCTCTCATCTCCTTCCCAGACCGAAAGTCCCAAAGATAAACTCAATGCATTCTTATGCTGGGCAAAGTGGCAAAACAGAGCGTTACCAAAGCCCAATCACTCCAAACTACAGTCCACCTCGGCAAATACACCCTGAACAAAAGCAACGCACGACCATTTCCTGGATACCGTTAAAGTCTAACGTACTACAAACTTCAGTGTTTTGGGTTTTTTTTTTTTTTTAAGAAAAATAAAAAGCTCAAGTCTACAGCAGATATTCCCGAAGCGGCGCGCTTAGGCTTTGTCTCCTCTTGCTGCAAAAGCAGCGGCAATTGGCACCGGGATTCGAAAACCAGGAAGGATTCTGGCCGGCTCCCGTCCTTCCGGTGGTCCTAAGGCCCTAGCGTGGGGCCGCTCAGCGGTCTCCCACCCGGCAAGAGGCGAGGAACAATGGGGACCCAGTTTGCCCACTAACCGCCTAACTTTACTCGCGGCTTTGAATTCCGCCCGGGGGCTAGAGTGGGTGAAGGTGCAGGGTCTGCCAGGGGCCCAGGCCGGAGTGGATGGCGGAGGCTGCTCGCTGGGCCCCCAGCCGCGCCGACGGGCCCCACCTAAGGGCGAATGACCAGGCAGGAGCGCCCCCTTCACGGAGGGGTGCGTCCTGCAGCCGCGGACCCGCTCCTGGAACCAAGGGACGGCGCTGAGGAATACCAAGCGCCTGGGAACCCACGGCCCGTCGCTAGCCTCGGCCCGCGGCGCTGGAACAAAGCCAGCAGAGCGCCCGGGAGCCTGCGCTTGCAGCCGGGGACAGGAGGGGACGCGCAGAAACTCTCGCGCACCCCCTTCCCCGCCCCGACAGCTACTATCCGCGAAGCCCGCCAGCCAAGGCGCGCGGGGAGAAGCGCGGCCCCGGCCACCCGGGTCTCAGGGTCCCGGGGCGGCGCCCTGCATCCTACCTCTGGCCCCAGGGTCCCGCCCCACCCAAGCCCAGGCGTACCTTGTTCTTGACCTCGGCCGAGAGCCCATAGGAAGGGCCCTTGTTGAAGTGGGTCATGATGATTCGGGGGCGGGAAGAGGCTGAGTTCGGGTCTGGGGGTTTCTTGAACTCGGTTTCCCCGCTCCTGGCCCCGAGGAGTGGCCTCACTACAAGATGCTCGGAGCTCGCTCTCCTGGGCGGCGCAGGAGTCGCCGGGACGCGGCGGCGGGACGCGGGCGGTGCCTCGGCTACTCGGTCGGACGAGGGCCCCCAGACGCTCCCGGTCGGCTCCGGAGTCCCGCACGAACTGCCCCCCACCGCCTCCCCCGGACTTTCAGGGATTGGCCGACTAGCCCGACCAATGGAGGGCCGCCGCCTCCCGCGTCTCCGGAGAGGGGGCGGCGCGGCCAATTGAAGGGCGGCGGGCGCCGCGCTCCCTCCCGGCGCGGGTCTCTGGCCCCGGTCCCCGCCCTCACGCCTTGCAGGGGCTAAGCGGCCCCTCCTCCAGGCCTGGCGGAGCAGGCAGCGCCGGCGGAGGCCTGCCCCGCAATGGGAGTCGCCCTGGCTCCCGGGGGCTTCATAGCGGCCCGGAGTTCGCGTCAACTTCCCGGCATCCGCTTGCGGCCAGCAAAGGGGAGGGAAGCCCACCAGGGTTGACCCGTGGCTGATCCACCGCCTCCTTCTGCCTCCTCCCTGGCTAAAGACCCCGCGCGCGCAGGTGGCGGGCAGGACCCCTCCATTCGATGCGGGGAGCAGTCTTGGAGCTACTGTGCCCAAGAAAGTGGGGCCCCCTCCTCCGACACCTGCTTCTTCCTCCCTTACCCAGCAGCTTCCCACACCTGTTGGTCTGACCTCTCCACTGCTGCCGTCCTGGGAACAGTCAAGGCTTCGGGCCAAATTCGAACTCACTCTGTGTGTGATGTACGGAAAAAGTGGGGAATGTGCCATGGCAGAGCCTGGGCATTTTAAGTCATTTTCTGGATTCGCACCAACTCCTTTTTACAAGCATCTTTTATCCAGGGTTCAACTAATCCAAAAACCCAGGTGACTGTTCTGTTTTTTGTTTTTTTTTTTTAATCCGTGAGCTTCTTTGAGCCAGATCTTTTGTGTAGAGCCAAGTAAACTTGTATCCTTTAGGCCAGAAGGGCCCCCATCCTTTCATGGTCCCGCTTCCAACGCATCACTTTCTTTCCCTCAGATCTCAAGTTTAACTTGATAGAGAGGAGGAGGGAACAGAACTCTCCTCATTCATCAGAGTGCCTGGTACTGTTCTAGACATTTCCCAAACACGTTCTCATTTACTCCCCTCAGACAACCCGTAGGTAGACATCATATCCATTTTAGGGGTGAGAAAACCAAAACTCATACTGACCCAGGTCTGCCGGCCTCTGAAACT